GGGGGGGGGGGGGTCAAATTTTCAAAGCAAAAGCATCCTCTTAACCTTCTCCCTCCCTCGGTAACAAGTCAGTAGCTAACTAACTAGGCAACTTCTGAGACTGTAACTCCAATAATGACATTTAAAGAAATAGGAAATAAATAACTTCCAAAGGTCACATAGCTAGAAAGTTACATAGGTTCGATTCAAACTCCAATCTCTTTCTAAATTCCATTTTTAAAATATTCTGATACTGCCTATGAGCCAGGAAAGAAATCTTTTGGTAGTAGCGGCTAAACTACTTAGAGACGTAATTATTTTCTAAATTAATTCAACTCAGTCTATTGCTTAGAAATAGCTTTGTGGATGAGTTCCCAATATGATTTTCTAAAAAGCGGATGTGTATATCCGTTCTGCTCAGCTTCTCGGCTAAGTTCATGTCAAAGAAGAAAATGACCTTTGAGTCAGAGATAGGTTCTAGGGACAAATTAACCTCAGGAAACTGCTATCAGTATTTAGCTATTAGAGAGGCATTTATAAAATCAGAATCTATCTATTACTATTAAGCAATTTCAATTCTTGGTAAAGCTGGTTTGGGCATAGCAAGATTTTACCTTCCTGAATCATTCCCTCAAGGGTTTCCTTGTGGTGGCTGAAGAGTTTTGTTTGTCAAGCAAGATTGCAATCTTTAATAAAGCCACCATAATGGCATGTGACGTGCTCTGGGGTGGTCCCTGTAAAATAAGTGGCATGACGGGCAAGGCAAAGGCATGTAGGAACCAGCACGAAGAACGCTCTAGTACTTTCAACCAGAGTCAGAGGAAATTGATAAGAGAGAACATTTTCAAATGGGAACACTTGATTTGAAAAGGAAATGGGAGACTCCTGCTAGAAATTAAAAGAACTTTCAAGCATTTGACTTCGGCTCAGGTCATGATCTCACAGTTCTTGAGTTCAAGCCCCACATCAGGCTCTGTGCAGACAACTTAGAGCCTGGAGCCTGCTTCGGTTTTTGTGTCTCCCTCTCTCTCTGCCCCACCCCTGCTCATACTCTGTGTCTCTCAAAAAATGAATAAATGTTAAAAAAAATAAAAAGATTTAGGGGCGCCTGGATGGCTCAGTCGATTGGGCGACTGACTTCACTCAGGTCGTTATCTCACAGATTGTGAGTTCGAGCCCCATGTCGGGCTCTGTGCTAACAGCTCAGAGCCTGGAGTCTGCATCATATTCTGTGTCTCCCTCTCTCTCTGCCCCTCTCCTGCTCACGTTCTGTCTTTCTCCTTCAAAAATAAACATTAAAAAAAAATTAAAGAAAAATAAAGAACTTTCTATGCCAGACAGAGCTTTAGTGACATTTTTCAGTCAAGAAAGAAAAAATAATATGTGTGCATGTGTACACTAACACATATATATAGTTAGGCACACCACCCCGTCCCACATACCTCATTCCATTTTATTCCCATATGTAACCTGTATACTTGTATTTCCATATGGAAAGTTAACTGAGTATCAAATAAGTGATACTGGAAAACTAGGACCACAACCAATTTCAATATAAATGTGCAGGGAATCAACACAATAATGAATATAAGTAATGTCAGAATGGGGATTTTCCCTCTTCCCCTCACATTTCTACAAAGTTTTATTATTCTAAAAAGGAAAATAAAAATAATTTGACTCTCTCGGTCTCAGTAAAGACCCAGTGGGTTGTAGTGAAAATAAAAAGGTCCAAATTAGACCAGGAGACCAATCCTTAAAAGAACATATAAAATTTGGCCATAGAGGGGTGCCTGGGTGGCTCAGTCGGTTGAGCATCCGACTTCGGCTCAGGTCATGATCTCGCAGTTGGTGGGTTCAATCCCAGTGTCGGGCTCTGTGCTGACAGCTCAGAGCCTGGAGCCTGCTTCGGATTCTGTGTCTCCCTC